TTCAGCAGTAGCAACTGTGAATCTGTAGCCTCAATCAAATTCGCATTTGCATTATGTCCTTGACCCTGATAAAGATTTTCAGGGGGAGGGGACAGTCAGTTCAAGGCTGAACACTTTGGTATATTTTACATATACATACATATATTTTCCTGTATTACAAGAGATGGCTTACATTGTGTCCTGCAGTGATGTACTTTAAAGGCTCTGCACACAGACCAAATCCATTACAAGCCTGTAGGAAGTAAATGGCCAAGTTGTCGCTTTCTGTGTGACCTCTCTTCAGTAGAGCCCAGGCTTCAGAGACACAACTGGAGACCAGAGACATTGACAAAAGCACACAATGAGACAAATGAGGGGGGGGGATGATGATGTGGCTTTTTAATCTTAGATGATCAAAAATATTGCCAGTAAGCCATTAGTGTACCAGAAAGTACCTGTTTTGAATTAGTACATCTGCACAGAGCTTAGCAACCTCCTCGCTCTCTATTGCGGGTCTGGTCCAGTGGAGGTACCTAAATGCCAACTGAGGCTGTTTCTTCATTAGCAGACAGTGGATGATGCAACTATGCTGCCAAGAGAGCCAGGGAACAGCAGCCCTGGGGCTCAGTAATAGCTCCATGGAGGCCTGGGTAAGACGTAACACGACATAAAGCAGCAATATAATGATTACTTTGACTAACATTTATGATGTTGTCTCCTAACATCTCTCCTTCTTGCTGTTATCAAGAAGTAAACTGGCAAATTTCTTATCATCCATGAAAGCATCTCCTCTTCTGAAAGAGAGTTATACTGATGTACTGTTCATCACTAATGAGTGGAACAGTGGAGCGTTAATCATATACGCTACTCAAGTGGCCCATTAGTGTCACCTGTAGACCATTATGGCTGCTGAAACAAGGACACTAATGTAATCAATAGGATGGTTAACTGGTCGTTGAATTGCACTTGCATCACAGTCGGCTTGCATGTGTTCATTTTAATGACTATATCAAAATCTGAATCAGTCACTCACCTAATATACTCTGAATCAGCCTCTTTGTTATATACCTTGATGTGTCCAAGATCGAACATCCAGAAGGCCCTGATTTGTTGGGAAAAACTGGAAGGAATAGTGAAGGCATGGCAGAAAGATTGGAGGAGGTCATCTTTGCACTGCAGGAAGTTCGCCATATCCAGGACAAAGTACATGAACTGTGATACATATAGGTTAAGAATTACATAACTCATATAGTACAATATACAGTACTGTGAGCATCAATTCTTCTAGGTACACTACACGTAGTTTTTGAAGCAAACATCTTGGAGAACTACCCACAGTTTTTCTGTGGATTTATGCAGTCTCAGTTGCTTCTCTCTCTTCATGTAATCCCAGACACACTCAAGAGGGTCCTTGTTTGTTCTTTACACTAAAGATAGTTCTTCATGACTTTCGCTGTATGTTTGAGGTCATTGTCATGCTTCAAAATAAATTTGGGCCAATCAGATGCCTCCCTGATGATATTATATAATGAATAAGTATCTGCCTGTACTTCTCAGCATTAAGGAGACCATTCATTCTGACCAAATCCCCAACTCTGTTTGCAGAAATGCAGCAAACTTGCAAGGAACCTCCACCATGGTTCACTGTTGCCTGCCTCATTCTTGTACTATTCTCCAGCCCTTCTGCGACCAATTTTCTGCACCCCATTTCCTGTGTTTTCGTGCATAGATGTCTCTTGGCCTTGTTTCCATGTCGGAGGTATGGCGTTTTGGCCATTAGTCTTCCATGAATGTCACTTTTGACCAGACTTCTCCGGACAGTTGATGGATGTACCAGGGTCCCACTGTTTTCTGCAGCTTTAAGCTGATGGCACTGCTGGACATCTTCCAATTGCAATGGGAAGTAATCATGATGGGCCTTTTACCTGCTGCAGTAAATTTCCTTGGTCAGCCTCTGCATCTACGTTTCTCTGTGCTTCTTGAAAGAGCTTGGACAGAACATCTGGAAACCCTTGTCTGACTTGAGATTTCTACCTAGGAGAGACCTTGCTGATGCAGTCTAACTACCTTGTGTCTTGTTTTTGTGCTCAGTCTTGCCATGGTGTTTGCCTTTAGACAGTAAACTGTCTTCTGTAGCCTCACCTTGGTAGCTGAGTTTGGCAGTTCTTCACCCAGTTCCTTACACGCTCCTTTCTGTTTCAGTTCATGGTTGTGTGTCAAGCTATATATTAAATTGGGGATTATTAGCACCTGTTTGGTATACTTGGTTAATCATGCATCTGATAATGTGCCTACAAAATCCCTGACTTTGTGCAAGTGAACCCAGAAGAACTGATGCTATTTCAGAGCCAAAGGGTGGTTTTACCAAATATTGATTTGATTCTGTTCACTCACTTTGCATTTTGTTAAGTGATCAATATAATCTATCAACGTCTTATTTTTTAAAGCATTCTTAGTTTACAGCATTTTCCCACACATGCTAAAATGTTTGCACAGTACTGTATATATACATTTATAAAGTATTTATCTGAAATAAAACAGAAAAGAGCACACTAGAAGAAAATAGGGTGTACTGTATGCTCCACAGAGGGCTTTGTCTGTGCTGTATTTGGATGGATACAATTGCTTGGACCGACATGTTGTCGATATGAGGCACCAGCACGAGCTTCAGCAGGGCCTGCAGATTGGGAGGAGGATAGCACTGATCTGTGCAGTCTTCAGAAGTCCAAATGCATCCATGTTGCCTGTCCAGCTGAGACACCATACCCTGTATTAAAGACCTAAATCTTTCTCCCTCCTCCCATCTAGTGAAATGTAAGAAAGTAGAAAAGCAGAGAGAAACTTCAGAGAGAAAATAAGTATAATGGCTCGGAATTCGTCCATCAAGTCAAATATTCTGAGTTACCCAGGTGTCTCAAGATGAGCTTTCCGATGACTGTGATCCATTTCCTTCCACATCTGAGAGATGCGCTTCACCTCGTGAGCCTCTGACAGCAACAGCAGAGAACCGAAAACATTTAGATGTGTCATAGCAGCTGATCCTGTCAATATAATGTAATGTGTGTCATCGTATCTGTACCAGGGTACTTGGGCAGAAGTCCCATGATGCCCCACCACTGAACCAGCCGTCCCAGCCATATGTGTTGCTTTAGAACCCTGTGCTCTCTGGTCCAGCAACCATGTCTGACGTTGGAGGAGCCGAAAGCATCCCTGCACACCACACATGGGACCCCCACACCTAAATATAAACATAAACATTTTAATTCTGGTAAATTCTAGACATATCAGAAGGTTCCAACTGTATGCTGTATGTGTTCTGAATTGTGTACCATGCCAGAGATGAGCTGAACTGAGCTGTTTTCTTGCCCATTGGGCCAGGGTGAGCAGGTTCCTCAGTCTCTGGAGCAGCATGTGCACTCTGGTGAAAGAGCTCCGGTCCAGAAACATCCACAGACCCTGGCATCTGCTGAAACCTGTGGAAAACACAACAGGTACAAAGATCCTTAATGTGTACTTTGAAATTCAAACATTTAAACATAATTAATGAAGAAACATGTTCTTACATAGGGTTAATAACTCCTTTTTAGCAAACTCTGATGTCCTCTGTACCCAGCAGCTGAAAGTCGGTAGGATTTCGCCTATGTCAGCTTTACCTGCAGCAGGGTATTATTGGAGATGAAATGTTAATGCACCAAACAACAAGTGTTGCAAGTAGTGGACAGAATTGTAGTCAAATGCCTATAATGTACCTTCAGCTGTAAGCTTCCGTAGCCAGCGGATGATGGCTCTTATGTTGTTGCTGGCTAACGCCTCAGACCACTGCCCCTCTGTATCCAGCATGACTGACCTCACACCCCAGGCTCCACATGGAGACAGGGGAGTTCACGTGGGAAAAACAATGCTGATACCTATGGTTCATTATAGCAAATGAAACAAATGATTATGTATGAAAGGTTACTGTATTGTAGAGGTGTTTTAACCGTAGCTAATGTCATCTCAATGAGTTGTTAAATAATATGTGCACTTAATCCTGGAAAACCTATCATGGACATGTTTCCATAATTAGATCAATGGATTGTGCAGCAACAGCTTGAAGCGCACATGTGGTAGGCATTATTTTGGGAAGCCCCCATAGAGAAAAAAATTTAAGATTTGTAGAATACTTACTTGGAGACGTGGTTTAGTTGTCCAGTAGCTCTGTTAGACTTCACTCTTGGTCTGTGCAGCAGTGAGTGCTGTGTGTTCTGTCTGTCTTGCGGATTTGCTGACTGGCCCGGTGACTACGGTAACAGTCTCTTCTTACACAAGCTACTTTGGTACATGTTAATCCACTAATCTCACTCTCATTTCATTGGCTGATTTGCAACGTGGCTGTGAGTATAAATGAATGTGTGTGCGTGTTGAAATGAAAGTTGGAAACAGAATAGGTAAGACCAGCCAGGGCTCTCTACAGCTTGAATCTTTCAGGCATTTGGCACTTTTGACCACACTCCAGTCAGTGATGTCACAGCACGTTTTTTCATCTTTTTGAAAAGGCAAAACACCTGCTATGACATCACTCACTGTGGTCAAGAGCACCACACACCTGGAAAGTAGAGCTGCAACGATTGATAAAATTAACTGGCATCTATTTTGATGATTGAAAAATGCAACATTTGCTGTTTCCAGCTTCTCAGATGTGAGGATTTTTGTTTTCTTTACATGATAATAACCTAAATATTTTTGAATTTTGGACTGTTGGTTGGACAAAACACCTTTAGCTGTGGTAAATTACAGCGGCCATTTTTCACTTTTTGCTGACATTTTACAGACAACACTATTAAGGAAGAAATGATTAGCAGATTTATCAATAATGACAATAATAGAGTTGCAGCTCTACTGGAAAGTTTCCACCGGTAGAGAGCAGTGCCGGAGCAGTTTTTCTTTCCATAATTGTGGCAGTACACATGTATCCTTAGTTTATCCTTTATGACCTATCAATTAATCTAGATCATTTTTATTTTTCATTACAAAGTGGCTGAATTAAAATGCGTATTCTGTGCTGTAGAAACTAGAGATTAACTATAAGATATCACTTTTCAGAATGTCCAGTTGGATGTCGACACTTTTCTACTACTTTTACTTGTGAATGAAAACACACACACACACAATGGCCATCATCCATTACTTTCACAGTGCTGGGACAGTCAGATTTGCATAGGTGGCAGAAGGTCCAAATCCCTCGTGGGGCCCAGGGATGATTAATGATTAAAGGAGATTAGGAGGAGGGTCAGGACTTGGCTACTGGTCTAACTCTGATGCGGCTGTGGCTGCCTACATACTATTTGTGTCAATACGACTAGCCTGTCTTGGGACTAAATCTGAGGATGTCGGCGGGAAAAAAACAACTGAAAAGGAGAGGAGAATGATGTTTCTAGGTGAATGCTGACCAGGATAAGGTAGGTACAGTGGACTTAGCTTCTGGATTCTGTTTGATTGTGTCAGTTATTTCTTACATTTTATTTTCAGGACCTTTGTCCAGACAGAAATGCCAGGTTCACTGGATTTAAAAAGGAACTTTTGTTTTTTAAACCACATTACATCTTGCTGATGCTTTCTCAGTTTGTCTCACATAGACAGATTGTTTCACACTTGCGTACTGACCACGTCATTTTATTTTGTCTTGACAGTGTTTTCCACTCCAACAAATTGTGCCTGTCATGTGAGAATATTTATTTTTTTATATTCTCACCACTGTAGTCTCACAGACCAGCCTGCATCTACAGCATAACCATAATGCAGTGTCCACAAGATATCGATCATGACTACCAGGCTAAGCTGCTTATGAGAGGACCTTCAGAAAACTGTACAACCAATCCCCCTCCCCTTGGTCCCCCACACCCCCTGGAGGATAACCTGTTCCCCTCCCCTGCTCTATCTGTGTCCCACCCTTAATCACCCCAAGGATTTACAGAGGATATATATATATATATACGATGGCGGTCTTGAGAGTGAAATTCACCAAGACCAAGAGGGACAAGCTGGCCCAGCTGCTGTGGATCCTGAACTGGATCTCAGTGGTGACAGGGGTCATCCTGTTTAGCCTGGGGCTCTTCCTCAAAGTGGAGATTAACAAACGAGAGGAGCTGATGGCTGCGAGGGACATCCAGTATGTGCCCAACATGCTGATTGCCGTGGGCCTCATCGCCTGTGCCATCAACTTCCTGGGCGGGAAGATCTGCTATGACTGCGTGGACACCGCCAAGTTCTTGCGCTGGAAGCTGATCATGCTGCCCTACATTATATGCACATTTTTCTTTACCTTCTGTGTGCTGGTGGGGGCTCTGATGTGTTACAGCATGCGTGGGGAGCTAGAGGAATCTCTGAACGTGGGGCTGACTGAGGCCATGAGGTTCTATAAGGACACAGACACACCAGGACGATGTTTCCTGAAGCGCACTGTGGACATGCTACAGATAGAGTTTCAGTGTTGTGGAAACAATGGCTATAAAGACTGGTTTCAAATCCAGTGGATCAGCAAAAGATACCTGGATATGTCTCAAAAAGAGGTGGTGGAGTAAGTACAAACTAAAGAATGAGAACAATTTAGTAGAGTGTATACTCACATTCAATTTAAATTTCATCTATAAAAATGATTGATAATTACACCATCACATATTATTTGAATAATACCTTTCACCATAAAAGTTAAATGTCCATTTTTATAGCAAACACAACACAATTATGAATTTTATTTCTTTTCAGCCGATTAAGAAGTAACGTAGAGGGGAAGTACCTGATGGACAGCGTCCCCTTCAGCTGTTGCAACGTCAACTCCCCGCGGCCCTGCATCCAGCAGCAGATCACCAACAACACCGCTCACTTCAACTACGAGCACCAGACGGAGGAGCTGAACTTGTGGATGAAAGGGTGTCGCCAGGCGCTGCTGGAGTACTACACTCACATCATGCAGTCCATTGGCCTCGCAGTCCTCATCACCTGGCTGTTTGAGGTGAGAAGATACAAGATGCTAGTCATCCATGACTGAGAATTTCCACAGACATGTTGGACATACAAGTTGGTAGCAACAACAGCGAAGTTAAAGGGGAAAGTTTTTTTCACACATTAAAGTTTGTCACAGGCTTTGGGGAATAGTAGCCATTGCATATATGAAACTTACACACAGTTAAGTGGCTCCAGAAGATAAATATCCTCGAGTGACATAACTTGAGGCAATGTCGGTTAGAACTGAAGACTACAAATATGAAAATGAAAACAAAAATGTCAGGGTGTCTCCTTAGAAAGATATTAGCTTCCCAGACCTCTGTAGCTTGCTTGTTTTTGTTGTGTTTGAGGCTAGCAGGTCGATGTCGAGTTGGGCTGTGGGTAAAAAGAAAGACGAATGTTTGGGATGAAAAAGACAGCATCTCTGGTTTTGCTGCATCAATTTTGGTACTTTTTAAAACAGTATAAACAATGTTACAGTCACAGTAATGTTAGCTATTTCTACATTCAACTCTTCCAAATTATTGTTTATATTAAAATAATTTTAAACATGGAAGATTGTCTTGTCAGATTTGGTAAATCACTTCAACAGTAATAAGAAAAGTTTGGCTATTGGCTTTTTTCCTTTCCATTCAAAATGTATAGACACTAGTGGAGGACATGAGTGTCACCTCAGCCATTGCATTAACACTGTTATGTCACATCCACCTGCAGTACTAATCCTTGAGTAAATCTCTACTGTCATATTATTTCTTGGTCACACATGCAGTACATGAAGTTGACTTGCATATCAGTTTCTAAAACGTATTTGTCACAGATGGAGGAAACAAAAAACTCCTTTGACCTCTTGCATCATGACTTGAGTTCATATTTTGTGTGATGTTGTCACTAATATGTCTCTGTGTCTTGTTTTAGCTGTCAGTGTTGACAGGGGTTCGTTTCCTCCAGACCTCCCTGGAAAATGTGCTGAGACAGGGCGACCCCAACTCTGAGTCTGACGGCTGGCTGCTGGAAAACAGCTTTATGGAAACGGCCCGCACCAACCTGAATATCATCAAGAGCCTTGGCAAGAGCAACCATATAGACATAGCCAACAACGGAGACCCCAACATTAATGTTCCCTCCACATGTAAAGCACACTATGGGCCAGACAACGTGCCACCGAAGCACACACCTGAAGCCAGTTGACCTTTCTCAGTGAACAGCATCCCTGGATGCCTAAATAAGGTCCTTCATCCAGACTACTTAAAAAGAGTTGTTCACTTTACATCTATTAGTTATTATCTATATGAGTCAAAAAATACAACTGAGAAATGCCCATACAATGGTGTTTGTGGAAATAAAAATATATTGTGGGAAATGCCACACAATATATGATCTGTTTCCGTGACAGGGTCCATATTTTCCTGCTTTGTTGACCTTTTACAATCACTAACTAATCAAAATCTTTCCATAGATATTCCTTTTTACGTTGCAAACATCATAAATCAACACAAATTACATATTCTTCCGTACATCTGTACTGTAATCTGTTGTTTACAAATGATATCTTGTTGCCTGTATATCGTGTTTTTGCAACAGCTTTCCAAAACAGTTTCATACACCTGTCAGCTGCAACACTGGAATCAAAATGAACTTATACCTATTTTATTGTTTGATGAAAACAAATCAGTGATGTGGGTTCAGAGGTTGGGTCACATTTTGCCTCAAAGTATGATAGAAAATGCTTGAACGTTTTACTACTGAATTACTCTAGCAAGAATTTGTAGGATATAATTAAAATGAAATTAAAAGTTATCTTCCACAAATCTAGGCGCAGGGTGATCTGGCCTCAAGCTAAATATTTTTTAGTTTTAGTTTTGATCAATAGTAACATTTTTGGATCTCTTCTGTGCATTTTACCTGGCTTTAGCAAATAAAGTTGTACCAAGAGTAGTAAACAATGGGATAAATACTGTATATTGTTGCTTTCACACTAGTTACGGTAACATAACCAGACAGACATCTAATTGAAAACACATTATATTTTCTAGAACGTTTAAGCTGTCACCACAATGAATTATGTGCCTCAGCAATGTCACCATGGTCTTATGAAAACACCTCAGTCATTTTTGCCAGGATTAGCTACCAAAAACTTGACAATAAACCTCCGAGCTGATGGCTGGGTTTTATTGTTTGTGATAGTTTTGTAAGGGTTGCACACGAGTACATTGCAAGCTAGGCTACTATGTCTTACTTTCTTTTAATGATAAAGCCTTCAACATACTGGCAGGTGGCAGGGTCATGTCTGTTGGTCAAAGGAACTCTGCTTTCTCTGCCTTTGTTTTCAGATATTATAAAGCACATGGCAGCTGAGAGGGCAAATTACAGCTTAAACATTTGGGGGGCGAAAAAAACTTGGATGTTGCTAAATTAAACCATGTTAATAAAGTTTTCATTCTGGCTATGAAACTCTTATGACCAATGTAGTTTTTTGTGTACTTGGCTTCTGCACTTTGTTTCAGGAAGCTGCCAATCAACTAACTCCTCCTATTCAATCTGTGGCAACTGAGCCACCTTCAAAATGCTGTTCCTTCACCTCACACACACACTGTCTCCAGAGTCTGCCAACAACCACTTGTTAATTCTGTTTTCTTTTATTTACTTAATAAACTTGTACTAGTGGTACCATTATTAAGAAACAAATCTAATTCCATAACACATGAGACTTTGTGACAGAAATTGTGACACCAGTGTACTCAGATTGATTCAGGGCACAGGAGCAGTTCATCTGTATATAGGCTAGTGTCTTTATTTCCAACACAAAAAGGAAGAAGTTTTATATTCACACATTTTTTTCCTGAAAAGTAAAATAATGAATGGAGTAACTGAAAAGATATAATATTCTACCTTAGATTTTATTTCAATAAAAGCTACATTTCTTTCTTAAATAAAATATTGTTTTGTTTTTTTTTAACTTAAATTCAATTTGTTTTTAGTGAATCATCACCACATGGTGAAATGTGACTTATAATCTATCTAGCAATGGTCCCTTAAGTTTGAATCATTACAAACACACAGTGGATATCTGATAATCATAAATCTTTTGGCCTAATTTTTTTGGAAAAAGGGCATCTCATAATACTATAGTGATGTTTTCATATACGTCACTCGATGATTCTTAAGATCAGTGAGGACTAGAAAACCATAAATGGCTAAATATGGATGAGATATATGAACTTCAATCTGGTGTCAAAAAGTCTGCTTATCATTAAATGTATATACACCAGGAAATCATAGAAGCAGTTCACTGTATACCTCTCTCAGAGCACTGAATCGGTCTTAAAACAACTTTGAAAATAATGTATATACTATAAATGTTTTACCAGTACATATGAATCCATTAATGGTCAAAAGCAAAAGTGTGTAGGACCTCGGACCATGCTGAAACATTTCCATATAAACGTACCCTCCAAAACAGCAGAATTCCAACAATTATAACTTATGACAAATTATAATTTCTAACACAAAAAAAGAATGCAGAAAATTCACAGCGTTACTGAGGAGAGAAATCAAATACATAAACTGATAACGGAAACATGTTAGTGTGTAGCTGATGTTCGTCTTTATTTAAATGAGCCTCTTTGCAAATAACATTACTTTAGGAGAAACTCATTCTCACAGCAGACAATCAAATTAAAACAAGGCGACTTGGGTTTAATCATTATCCATCACCCTCCATTATTCCTCTTCTTTTGACTGTCCCACTTCTCTAGACTGCAGCAGGGATTTCAACAGGGAGGCATTGGCTGTTCAGGTCTCGTTTGATTGTAGGAGGGTTGTTTGTATGTGTATGTGTATGTGTATGTGTATGTGTGTGTGTGTGTGTGTGTGTGCGCGCACGCATGCCGCAGGACTACTGGAGCAGATTGTGCTCTATGGCTGTGCTCTTTACTTCCCGGCCACCGCAGCTGGAGCAATCATCACAACATCTGCCACTCAAAGGCAAACATAACATTGACCACCTCTAGGCTGCGGGCAATTTCTTCCAGGATGCAGTGCTGCTGCCACAGCTGGTTCAGCTTTCTGTAGCGCTCCGGGCAAAGGTGCAATGGATTGCCCCTTCTAGAATTTAAAAGACAGAATGCCTGATTTAGTCAACAGTAAAAAACCAAAAAAAGCACTATACATTTGAAATGACATGTACTTCATGGACATGGGTAAATAGCTGCAGTCACTACTAAATACAAAACAGCAGAACAGATTCTTGCCGCTGAGTCAGTCAAATGAAGGGGGAACATAGAAAATTTACAAGTAGTAATGATTAGTGGGGATTTTATTCAGTGACTGTATTGTCGGATGAAACTAAAATCTGCAAGACTTGCAAAATAGGACAGCATTACTTAATTTGGTCTAGTGCCGACCAATTTCAAACAAGCACACATAGTGTCACTGATGAAAAAGTACCCGGCCCCAAATATTATCCAAATGCGGGTTTGCGATTCAGGGAGTGTCAGACCTGCAGTTATGTATAAAACTGCAGCTGTAACATTCACTGTCTGCAGCTGGTGTAGGTGTTTAAATTGCTGCAACGATTACTTTTTTGCCTGTAGGAGGCAATATCGCCATGTCTACATTTGCAATTCTCTGCAGAAGTAAAAACAATTCAGCCCCTGGAAAAGAAACTATGGTTATTACCCAAGGTGAGGATCAGTTTCCCCATAATCGTCCAGGTAAGGAGCTGGGTATGTGCTTCCTCGAGTCTTACTGGCCATCAGTACAATTTCACACTCTCTTATCCTGTCAACAAGAAATCAAACTTCATTTATATAGCGCATTTCATGCAAGAAAGAATACAATTCAAAGTAAAAAATGCAGTTAAAAAAGCTGAAGAAGTATTCTCCTGATCCCTGCAAGGCCTAGAATTGACCCACCTGAGGAACATGCCAACTCCAGCACCACAAGTAGCAGCGTGAGCAGTGCAAGCTCCCACATCTTCCCCATCCAGCTGGGTGACACAGCAGGAGCTCTGAGAGCACAGCATGGCCCCACAAAACAGGCACAGAGTTGGATGCTTCCTCTCATCATCTGTAGACTTGGGACACCTGAGGACAAAGTACAGAGGAGACGAGCCAGTTGAACGCCTCTAACAGATATTCCACTGAAAGGTTGTGATTGAAAGGACTTCAATTCCCTACTTACTTAAAATGGCTGGCTTGATTGAGGAGAGCACTGTAATCCTCTGGAAGATCAATCAAACGATTCCTTCTCCTAGGGTATCTGGATAGAGTTTATTGATTATTATTATTATTATTAATTGTTAGTATTACAAAATAAAAGTGGGACTGAAGTAATACAAAGGCCAAAATCTACCTGATTGTCTGGAGTTTGCCTTTCAGGGCTTTGGTTACAGCTGGGTTTCCACACCACCTAAGGAGGAAAAAACTTTATCATGAAACTGCCCACCTCTCCAGTGAATACTAAAAGATCACTAATCAAGTACATCAGCCTTGCCTCAATGTTTATCACCTACCTCTGCACCAGTGGAGTAACCGGTTCTCTGTGCTCCTGGAAGAGCTGAAACACATTGGGGGGGAGTGCCAAGTAGCTACATAGTGCCTCCATCTGTCCTTGATGGGTAACTGCAAAGAATGAGAATCCTAATTGTCAGCTTGAATTCATCAATCATATGCAGTATGGTATGATGATATAATACTTCGGTTTGACCTACCAGCAGTACTTAAAAGCTCCTCTGGAGGATGTACTCCTGTAAGGCAATTGAAAAAGAGAGCAGCACAGCGCAGGAAAGGTTCGATTCCCGTCTTTACTCTTTCAGCCACAGAGCTGCCGGAAACATCTGGAATCGGCCTAATGAGCAAACCACAGAACAACCTGTCAAACAAGCTGAAGGCAGTCTACATTACCCTATACATCGCTGAGTGTGCAGCGTGGAAAGGGCCTTGACCACAGGAAACAAGGAGCAATGTTTGCCTCTACTGAGAGGGCATCTGCTTCCATTACAGAGAGGTCGATTCCTGTCAAGTTTGAAGCAAGCTGATAAAAAAATGAATGTCCTGCTACATCAAACTTTCCCCACAGTGAAAATGTCTGTCTACTTTATTCATGGACTACACAGACGGTGAATTTTTGTAGGTAAAAGTTGACATGCATTACATGTTCCCTGGGAAAAAAACAAAACAAAAAAACAATACATGTTGCCTTAGCAACGGCAATGACTAAAAATGATTATTTTTTGTTTTCTTGTCAAGAGTTGCCATTTATAGAAAGATTAAAAAACAACAACAAATTACAATTCCAGCTGTCATTTACTTCCATGTCTGATATTGAAGTTTTCAGAAGAACTATTTCTTCTTATCATAGGGTAGAGGAATGGCCAAACTGAGCATACAAATTAATGTGGTTTAGTGGAAACGCACATATCAAACAAATCTCTGTTGGGGGGGATTAAAAAAAACAGGCCATGTGACACTCGCCTTCAACAGCAGCATGATAAGTAGCACCATTGGGAAGTTCATGTCTCAAGATACTTGGTACTAGGACAGATTCTTAATGGACTTTGCACAACCAGTCATGTCTGTGTTTAACTGTGGAGACATTTGTATGTCACCTATTCCACTTGAATCGTTGGACGCAGTTCACTACAGTCCCTTTTGTTTTTTGTTTTTGACTTTTATAAACATGTTAAGCTTGCACTCTAATAAGGAAGAGAGAAACTCTTTGAATAAACTTACACATTTCAAGCATAACTTAAAATGCAGTAATTTTGGCTCACATTTTTATTGCCTTAAATTTTAATTGTTTTTAAATTAAGGCGGCAGAACAAACAACCTTTTAGTTTAGTTAATATTCTGTTCAGGAGTTTTGAACTCAAAAGAATTACACGTCTAGACGAGTGATTACAAATCCAGGAAATCTCTGCCCTGCCATGCTTGTCTTTTAATCGTTGTTGCTGCATGTTGTTGGCTATGTTGCTGGTATTTGTAACAGGAATTATTTTGGTTTTATTCATTAGGGAGGGAGAGTGTACCTCATTAACTTTTAGTTTACCAATATGCAAATAAAGAATAACTACAAGCAATTGAATCAATTCACAGATCACAAAATTCTGTTTGTGTGTTTTGCCAGATAAATACAAGGAACATGAGAAACACTTGTACCTTCCAGTGTGTTGTGACACGGTAGTGCACAGCTCGACTGCTGCTCTCGCCTCCTCTGTCTCCTCTCCACCCACTATTGCAGGGAAATCTAGGCAGAATAGATACCATTATTTAATCATCCTTGTTCTTGTTCAGCATTCTGAGGTAGTTCAGTAAATGATACATATCAGTAGTATTGTTAAACTAGAATATATGTTTGAGGTTTCTGCTGTTTGCACCTGTAGAAGACAGGAGGATCTGCAATATGTGTGCCATGGTGACCAGATGCAGGATATACAGGTGGTTGTAGGCAGA